GCGCGCGTCTGCGTGGAGGAGCTGCGCGAGAGCAGGGTACCGGGAGGGCAACAAGGTTGGAGCTAAGTAGTTCCATGCATGGTGAGCAATGCCCTCACCAAGGGTCCGCCTGATTTTGAGATGATCACAACCATGCCATCTAATCAAGCCAAAGTAGCTATCTACGACGATGATGAGAATACGGGGAAGGCTAGTCTCTGCTTCCTCGGCGGACACTGATGATGATTATCATGATCATCATCTTCACTCAGCCGGTTCCCGAAACCTTAAACGTTACGATCTTAACTCATACGGCCCTAAACCCTCAATCCCATACTTCCTGGCCCTAAACCCTAAGCCCTAAGCTCACGGGAGGAGTCCCTGAAGTTTGCCCGCAAGCGACGAACTTTTGGCAAGTTCCTTATCGAACACCAGGCCAGTCGTCCCCGTCTCTTTAGCTTGGGGTGCGCCTATGAGTTGTATACTTATAGAAGTTCTAACTGGACTTTGCAGGAGGTTGTATAAGGTCTTAACAGGTTTGAGAATGTTTTGCAGGCTTTTTTATGGAGTGTGTTTGTAAGGGTGTTAATAGGGTTGGGGAAGGGTTTCTTCGGGCTGTGTAGGGTTTGGGTGAGGGTTTGATAAAGATATTAGCAGGAATTTACAAGTGATTCACAAGGGTGTGATAAGGGCTGCATGGGGGCAAACATGTAATTCCGGGGATCTACACGGATTTCATCAGGTTTTGAGGTGCTTGCACGGGATTTCTTGTGTGCGCGGTTCGGTCGGGGTGTTGGTTTGTCAGATCGGGGATTCATATGGCAGGGTTGTCGCTGTTGTAGCTGTGTCCTCAATGGTCTTATGACTCCTTATTCGGGCAGCTTGGTTCACCAAGTGTTGGGGCCAGTGAGCGCAGGGAGTACCAGTAGCCAGTTTCATGTAACAGGGGCTCTAAGGTTCATGCACCTAGACTCTGAACCCTGCGCCTTGAAACCCATGCCTTCCTATCCTTTTAAACCACAAGGTCATCCAGCACAAGATCGGCGAGATGGGTCGCCAGTGCGAGGCTTTGCAAGCCTGGATCGACTATCTGCCGCTAAGCTCGGTTTTTGAAACGATTCAAGGTGCGCAAAAAAGTGATGCAGATGAGACTGTTTCGGAATCAGGCTTTGTTGAGGGGGAGTTGTGCTTTAAGTTGTGGCGATGCTTGCTTCCAGATTCGCGCCTGGCATGTTCGCGCCGAGTCTTCGGCTATGTGTCTAAGCGTGGTCTCTGCCTTACAATTTGAGATCTGTATCTTCCGCCGACGAGCCGAGGACCTTTCAGCTCACCACAATGATCTTGGACTCGATCCGGGAAAGTTTTTTTTATTTGAGAGTAGGCAGCAGTAGAGAAGGCTTTGGGGCGTGCCGAATCCTCTTTGGAAGGCGCGACGAGAGCGCCTGAGAGTTCTGTGTGGCTGCCCGGAGTGGCCAAGGACCAAGGAGGAGCAGAACAAGAAGCTTGGTGGATACATCGCCCTGCTCAAGGTTTCGGCCACCAAGCCGCTTGCCCCTGCCTGGAACACTTCCGGCTTGCCGGAAACTGTCCAAAATGCGTATCGCAGCCTTTCGCAACCAGCCGAGGACGGTGGAGTATTGTGCCCGAGAGGCTCTGCAGGTCTTTGGCGGTGCTGGCTACACCCGCACCGGCCAGGGCGAGAAGGCCAGACTTTTCTGGAGTTCAGGGTATCATTCAGTTGTTTAGGGTTTAGGGTTTTTGGCGTCACCCTTGCATCGCAACATGTGGTCGAGTCATGCAAGGGCCCTCTTGTTCGAGTACGTTTCGAGTCAAGATTGCAAGATCCTCGATAAGATAAGTCATCCCTTGTAGTATGCATCACTCGTTCTAAACTTGTCAGTCCTTTCTTGCGCTGCTCGTGTGTGCATCCCCTAGGTCTCCTAAGGTGACTGAGGAAGGCTCTGCCCTCGAGCTTCGCTGCCGGCATACACTGCAAGTCCGTGCTTAAAAAAAGGGTAGATTTAGATTACTCGTCAACCGTTTATACCATTATGCAATCATTTTTAGATCATTCATACCCGTCGCTGTTGTTGTCATGCGATATGGGCTCGAGCCCTCAGCTCCCAGATGCAAGCCTGTCTTGAATAGAACAGCAGTCACGGTATCACATGTCCGCACAAGATATCGCAATCTACCATATTCTCCTGGCAAGATGTGCATATCTGGTATTCTACAGAAAGCCGGAAGCAGCACAAGTAGTCACTGCTGCAGCTGCCGTCCTGTGTAGAAAAAAGCTGATTTCGGTAAGCTCTTGTGGAAGTAGGAGCAGAATCGGGTAATCACTTCCATGTGCCTCTTCTTCAGGTGGAGCGTGTGTACCGAGAGGTGAAAGCCTGGGCCATTCCAGGTGGAAGCGAGGAGACCGCACGCGTTTAGCGAATTTGGCATATTCAGTTTGTTTGTTGGGTTGAGCGAGTTAGAACCTCAGTCCTTAAGCTTAAGCAACCTTTACAGGTGTAAAGGTTCTGGCATTTCTCCTGTCCTCTTGAAATCGGAGGACATGTTAGAGCCCTAACAAAAGCTCTCAAAAGCCCACACAACCCCTATAATAACGCCCCCGCAAGCTTCCTTCTTTGCATCGGAGGAGATTATGCTCAACCTGGCCGCCGGCAGCCTTCGCTTCGTGAAGAGGCCCACGCCGGATCCAAGGGACGCGACGATCAAGAAGCCGCCCGACTGGGCATGGTTTAGGGTTTAGGGTTTAGGGGTTTCCGAAACCCGAAACCCTCCGAGTTGCGAGAGCGTAAACCCTGCATGTGGGGTTCTAGGGATGTTTCTGAAGGGTTGAGGGTGCTAGCACTCCAGGGCTCTGAGGTACTAGGGGCCGGAGTTTGAAGATATGTAATGTAGCTTTAGAGCCCCAGAGCTTGTGCTGCGCCGCTTGATTCTCGCGCTTTAAGGCTTGTTCGGTTCAGGGTTTAGTGTTTTGGGATGTTTCTTTTTTCCCATGTCTAGCAGGATCTCTGGCTACGTTTTTGCAGCAGGGGTTGGAAAAAGGACGATATTCTAGCGAACTGCCTGTACTTTCGAAGAAGATTCCTCTGCTGGGGTCTTGATGTGCCTTGCTTTGCGGACTTAAGGGTTCTGGGGCAGCCGGGAACAACTACTCGACTACTATTCCACACGGCTCCTTAAAAAACTCCAGTAGAGTCTGCCCCGTCTAAATCTCGAGCGCAGGCAGGGTTTTCGTTTTCATCGGGGCCCCGAGGGGCTCGGGTTTTTGAAGCAACCGTTAACCGGGAGTCTCAAGGAGTCTCAAGGAGTCTGCCCAGAGAGCTCAATACACCTTAATTAAGGAATATACCTTAAATTATAGGGATGATTTAGGGTATATTCCTTAATTAGGGGGTATTGGGTTCTCCGGGTGCTGTCTTGCAGCACTCCCCATGTCAAGGGGAACGGTGATTGAAAGGTTTTCCGGGATGGTCCAGTAGTGCCTGGGCTTCAGAGTTTTGGTGTTGAGGGTTTGAGTTGCAGAGCTTTTGGGGTGTTGCGATGAAGAGCTTCTTTGTGGAACCCTGGTTGATGCAGGGTAGAGCGCAGAACCTTGCTTCGTGACTCATGCCCCTGGAACCCCCTTCGCAAGAACTGTGCCCAAAGCCCTAAACCCAAAAGGC